TCCAAGCACTAGCCCCAAGCCCGACGTACTGCACAGGTAGCGCAATACCCTCTTCGCTGCAGCCATGTGCTCCGGTCTGTGTCTCCCAGGAGCAACATAGCGTGCAAGAATGCTCAGAGGGTATGCAAGGTCAGGTCGTGTGCAGGTCATCAGGTACATGAGGCAGCCAACAAGCTCTGCATACGGACCACTCGACTCTACGGACTCATCCGAAGGCAGAGCTGAGAGTGAGTGGCGAGTAGGCAGAGGAGTGGCCTGAGGCGAGGAGTACGTGAAGCCGAAGCGCGGAAGGACCTGCTGCACCATGTGTGACTGAGTCAAGGTAATGGTGCGGCGTGCTCTATCCCGAGTGATCTGCAAGCCAAGGTAGCTGCGCAGTTCACCCAGGTCTGTGCACGTGTGTCTCTTCTACAGCTCGGACTTCACGTAGGCGAGTCCAGCAGTGTCCGCTGTGGCAAAGACCAAGTCGTCGACGTACACGAGGATGTAGAACGGCGGCAGTGAAGTGTCGGTGCGAAGAAACAGCAACGGGTCAGCAGAAGAAGGAGCAAACCCAAGAGCCGCAAGCGTAGTCCTCAGTGTGTCGTGCCACTCACGCGGTGCCTGGCGGAGACCGTAGACTGGCCGTCGGAGGCTCGACTGGGTGCCAGGAGGGAAAGTCCCAGTGAAGCCAGGTGGACGGCGAAGCCAGATCTCCTCGTGCAGGCTACCCTGCAAGAACGCAGTGCTGAAGTCGAGAGAGTGAAGCTCGTAGTCGCGCTGAGCGGCTATGTGCAGCAGCACCCGAAGAGTAGTCATCTTCGGGGTGGGAGAGAAGGTCTGGAAGTAGTCAACTCCCTGCCGCTGACTGAAGCCACGAGCAACGTACCGTGCCTTGAAGACAGGTGGAGAGCCCGGCGGCCGCTTCACCCTGAAGATCCACATGCCACAGACGATGTTCGCCCCAGGAGGGGGAACCGCGTCAACGTAGGTGCCTGTGGAATTCCAGGAAGCCATCTCTGCATCCATAGCTGCCTGCCACTGAGAGGAGTAGGGACCCTCTACGGCCTCCGCGTAAGAACGCGGAGTCGGGATGTCTAGTGCATCCGGGTCTCCCTCAGGGGCAAGCAGTACAGACGCGAGATGAGGTGAAGCAGCCACTAGACACTGTAACTCCTCCTGCCTGTCCTCTAGGACGTCCGTGCCAAGAGCACACTCACCCCCGACGGACGGAGGACAGACAGACGCAGACTCAGCAACAAGACTAGCAGCGTAGTCGAGACGACAGCGAGCAGCAAAGTCGACGAGCTCAGCGACTAGAGCAGACGCAGCAGTGGACTCAAAAGAGGGGTCAGTGACGACAGTAGCAAGGAGACGCGTGACAGTAGGACTGGCAGAACGAAGAGAGTCCGACTCAGGGTCGGCAAGCGCAGGAAGAGAGGACTCAGGAGGAGAAGGCAAAGGGGCGCGCAGAGGAGCAGTGGACGGACGCAAAGACATCCGGTGCGTGCCAGGGACAGGAGGAGGACGCTGACGCGAACTGCGACCACTAGCGCGAGCAGCACAAACAGGCGACGCGGGACAAGACGCAGGCTCACGACGCTCAGCAAGACCTCCAGTAGGACCAGTGTAAGGAGAGGGAGCAGGCAGTGGAGAGGAAGGCTCCAGCAGGGACTGCGACCGGACAGGCGGTGGACCCTCTATTGGAGGAGAAAGACCAAGAACCTGCTGCAGGAGCGGAACGAAGTACGGCCGAGGCCGCGCGGCAGCTCCAGACTCAGCAGGGACAGCACCAGCACCCTCAGCGACATCACCAGCGCCACCAACACCTCCAGCGGCAGGACCAACAGCAGTAGGCTCAGCACCAACGCCCTCAGCAGCTCCAGCTCCAGGAGGACCCGCAGGTCCAGCAGCTCCGGGACCGGCAGCACCCGCACCCTCGACGGTCGAAGAAGCTCCAGCTCCAGCTCCAGCAGCACCTCCAGACTCAGCAGCACGCCTCCAGCGGCGAGCGAACCACTCACGCAGCTCCTGTGGAGAGAGGGGCTCCCGGCGAGACGCAGCAGCAGGAGAAACCCCAGGCTCAGCAGCTCCAGACGCAGCACCCCCAGGCTCAGCAGCTCCCAGCTCAGCACCCCAAGGCTCAGCAGCTCCCGACCCAGCACCCCCAGACCCAGCACCTCCAGGCACAGCACCCCCCGACTCAACACCCCCAGGCTCCGCACCCTCCGCAGGAGCACCCCCAGGCCCAGCACCCCAAGCAGTAGCACCCCCAGGCTCAGCACCTCCGCGCACAGCACCCCCAGAGTCAGCACCCCCAGGCTCAGCACCCGCAGCAGCACCAGAGTCACCAGTAACCTCGACCGGGTCAACGGCGTCTACCTGGGACACACCTGAGGGGGCAGGAACCTGAGGGGGGAGGGGGTCTACCGGGGGGGGAACCGGCACAAGGAAGTCCGGGGGAGGGGGGAGGGAAGGAGTGCGGTAGGGGAAGAGACGGTAGAAGGGGACTGACTCGTCGAACGTGACGTCCTGGGAGGACAGAACACGACGAGAGGAGGGGTGGTAAAACTGCCACCCTGGGGCGTCAGTGGGGAAGCCAAGGAAGACACAGGGAGCAGCACGAGGGGACAGCTTGTCCGCAGACAAGTCGCGGACAAACGCCCGAGATCCCCAGACACGGAACACAGACGCATCGCCAACCTTCCCCGTCCACAGCAAGGCTGGGGACATCGCAGGCCGAGAGACCCGGGGGTGAAGGTTGAGCTGATGCGCCGCGTACCTCACCGCAAACGGCCACAGAAAATGGGGGGCAGCCGCATGCATCATGGACGTACGAGCGACATCCATGACCATGCCAATGCGGCGCTCAGCAATCCCATTTTCTGTGGTGAGTCCGGAAGCGTGAAGGTCTGGCGAATCCCCCGTGCACGACAGTAGTCCCGCAGAAGGCGAGAAGAGAACTCTCCGCCTCTGTCCGAGTGCAGACGCAGAACAGGAAAGTCCGAGCCGAAGCTCTTCCTGAGCTGGAGACGAGCCTCGCGGATCCAGTCGATCAGCACCTCAGTGACCGCACCCTTGCTGCGCAAGGGGAGGACTGTGGTGTAACGCGAGTAGTCGTCAACCACCAACAGGAAGTAGCGCTCGTGACCCTGCCCACGGACGGGGGCTGGGCCCCACACATCCATGTGAAGCGTCTGCAGGGGAGCCTCTGTCGGGGGGAAGTGGGAGGAGTGAGGAGTAGCCCGGAGGCGACCCTCGACACAGGGGACACAGGAAGGTCCTGGCCCGGAGGGGAGAGGAGGGAGAGACTGGGGAAGACCAGAGACAAGGACACGGGAAGCCATGCTCCGAAGACGGGGCAAGGAGGGGTGGCCAAGATGGTGGTGCCACAGGAGAGTCTCGTGAGACAGGAGGCGACAAGAACAGGGGGCAGACTCAGGACCTGACCGGGACGCAGCAGCAAGCACCTGACCCGACGCAGCCACCTGACCAGACGCAGGGACAGGAGGAGACTCAACGGTCAGGGTGTAGAGACTCGACCCCGGCCGACGCGAGAACGTGGCCAGGTGTCGGCCTGTGCGTGCCTCCGTGCAGTGGGTCACCCGCTGACTCGCAGGAGTGAACTGGTGAACCCCCACATCCTGCAGGTCCGCTCCACTCACCAAGTTCGTAGAGAACGAGGGAAGGTACAGACCAGACAGGGTGCCCGAAGGGGCAGCCGGACACGGGAGGACAGTGGAGAAGTGAGACAGGACAGGACCCCCAGAGGGGTCAGCAAGGGAGACCGCAACCGGCCGGCCGAGCGGCGTAAGGGTAGTGCGGTCTCGAAAGAAGGAGCGAGAAGCCCCGGAGTCAAGTGTGAAAGTGAGGGAGGACGAGGACGACGCAGTACCTGAGAGTGAGTCTCACCAATACCTGAGAGCACAGACGCACTGGCACCTAGAGCAGCAGCCTCACAAGCACCTAGCGCAGCAGTACCAATGCCCGGGTCGGGCTGGAAACACCGGTAACCCTCATTCTCCTCACTATAATCCACAACATACATAGCAGCAAGGATAGCATCAAAATCAAGATCAAAGATCGCTACACCAGCCCTTAGAAGCTCATCCCAGCGAGGGATCTCACTAGCCCCAGGGAACTGCTGACGCCAAGCGTCCGTCAGGCGGCCAAAGCAGCGCTGGGTGGCGTGGGCACCCCCACACTGCTCACCCGCGCGGTCGCCGGAACGAAGAACGTAGGTGCAGGGACCAGTACCCCCACCCCTCTGACGCGCAGCGTACCACTCACGAAGCTGCTGAGGCGGAGGGATGTCCCGCGAGCGCTGCTGCTGTTGCCGCTGCGAGCGCTGGCCACCACCACCGCCGCTACGCTGCTGGGTACCACCCCGACCAGCTCCACCTCCTCCACCACCACCGCCTCCTCCGCTGCCGCCTCCACCGCCTCCACCTCCGCCGCCTCCACCTCCGCCGCTGCCTCCACCACCACCGCTGGCACCACCACCACCGTCTCCGCCGCTGCTGCCACCACCACCACCACCCCCGCTACTAGTCCCGCCGCCACCCCCACTCCCTCCGCCGCCACCGCCGCCACCGCCACCGCCCCCTCCAGCTCCACCCGCGCCCTTGCCCCCCTTGCCCTTGCTGGAGCGACGTCTCCCACTAGGGGTAGACGCCGCGCCGACCGACTCAAGACCAAGCAGGTCGGCAGCAGCAGCAGAGGCAACAGAGGGCAGCAAGGGGGAAGGAGAGCACCCCTCAAAGATGGGGGTGCGAGGGTCACCACGAGAAGCACCTACAGCGACTATGCTCTTCTCCGCTGCGAGGAGGGCCTTCTCGAGGAGGTCGACGGTGAGGGTGGTGGGACAGACTGCGAGAAAGTGGTCCCTGACGACGCGAAGGGAGTCAGGGAGGCGCGCGACTACGTAGTAGAGAGCGATGTACATGGGGGGTGGGTTCTTAGCGCAGAACTCAGCAGGAAGGGCGGCGCGGTAGCGAGTGTCACTAGTGCGGAGGTGCGTAATGAGGTCAGCAACAGTGGGAAAGGCAGAGAGGTCAGGAAAGAGGTAGGGAAGCATGAGACGGCTCAGTGCAGCAGTGGCAGGGGAGGAGTAGCGCGCAACTACAGCGTCGTACAAGGTCTGAGCACTCTTGTACTGACTAAAGTGCGCACGCTCAGAGGTAGGGAGGTGGCGACGCACAGCAAGACGTGCAGCAGCATCGCGGGTGGCCCACTGAGAGCGGACAGTGGGATCAGCATCACCAGCAGGAGCAGGAGAGGCGCCAGAGGTGAGGTCAAAGAGAGAAAGGTCGTCAGCCCTGTCGCACTGTAAGAACAGCTGTAGGTCGTCTAACCAGACCTCAAAATCAATGGCGCGACCCTCAGCGTCAAAAGCTAGGACACTAGGGGTAGCCATGGCGACGACAGCGACGCAGTGCAAGCAGTAGGGAAAGAGCTCGCAGTGTCAGTGGGACTGTGCTCACCAGGCAGGGCAGGTCGTGCAGCTCTGCAGAAAGGCGGCTCAGCGACCGGGCGGCTCGGGTGCACAGCGGCTCGGCTCCCGGGCGGCTCGACGGCAGGGCGGCTCGGGTGCAGGGCGGCTCGGCTCCCGGGCGGCTCGGCGGCAGGGCGGCTCGGGTCCCGGGCGGTTCGGCTGCTGGGGCGGCTCGGCCGGGAGATGCAGGGGCGGGGCCGTCAGGTGCAGCGGCGGGTCGACCGGTGCAACGGCGGGCCGGCAGGTGCAGCGGCGGGGCCGTAGGGTGCAGCGGCGGGCCGACCAGGTGAGGCGGCGGGCCGTAGGGTGCAGCGGCGGGCCGTAGGGTGCAGCGGCGGGCCGGCAGGTGCAGCGGCGGGGCCGTCAGGTGAAGCGGCGGGCCGCTGGGTGCAGCGGCGGGCCGGCAGGTGCAGCGGCGGGCCGGCAGGTGCAGCGGCGGGGCCGTCAGGGGAGGCGGCGGGCCGTAGGGTGCAGCGGCGGGCCGCAGGGTGCAGCGGCGGGCCGGCAGGGCCGCGTCAGAGCCGGCGGCGGGGCCGCGTCAGTGGAGGCGGCGGGGCCGCGTCAAGCAGGCGGCGGGGCCTCGACGAAGCGGGCGGCAGGGCTGCGTCAGAGCCGGCGGTGGGGCCGCGTCAGTGGAGGCGGCGGGGCCGCGTCAAGCAGGCGGCGGGGCCGCGATCAGGAGGGGTGGCGGGGCCGCGTGTGAGGGACAGCGGGGCCGCGAGGGAAATGGCGACCCGAGGGGTCGCTAAAAAAAGGCGCGCCTCGGGGCACGCTTCGGTGGGCCCTAAAAAAAACGGTCCTAATGAAGGACCCGCTCTATACCATGTGAAAGAAGTGAACAGGAATAAATGAACTAGCAGTGAAAAGAGTACAAGTAGGAAACCCTAGAATTGTGTACCCCCTATAGGCTAACCCACTCTAGCCTACACAAGCATAACATATATAATGTTTGACATCCGCCACCCCACGGGAATCAGGAGGATTGAATTCCTCGTTCGCTGGAAGGACCGCACGCCAACTGAAGATAGCTGGGTGCCCCTGACCAACATTGAAAACCACCCTGCCCTGCAAGTGTACCTGAGGAGCCGAGGATTCCGCGATATACACGCACTCGCGTAGCGGAGGGGGCTTCTTAAGGGGGGGGGGTAGTGTAAGGAATTTTCTCGGCATTCCTTACGGAGCCGACTACATCGCGTACAGCAACAGCCGTTGTTCGCCCGTTACTGCTAACGGGACTTCGCTGACTTCGCGCGCACTGTTTTGCCAAACCTCGCACTGCTGGCATGGCCGTATCGGCCTACGCTTCGGGACTAGCCCGAGCCTCGCTCCAGCGTAGCACTAGCAAGCTCGCACGCACCGCGTTACCGTTTTGCATGTTTCGCGTATAAATGTTCGCTCATGCCTTCGCTCACATTTTGTACTCGTTTGACACCTTAGTGCAATTCTCGCTACTTCGACTCATTGCACCCGTAACACCAGGAATCCATCCACCAGGAAGAACCTCTTCAGGAAAGTAGATCCTCACGTTTCTTTTGAGGTTACAGCAGCCTGAAGGATTCTAGTGCCACAGCCCAGTACTACAGCGCCACAGCCGAGTCATTCAAAACCTAAGGTACGGATAGTCGCTGTGTGGAGGTGCAATAAATTCATTAGGAACACCGACTCTCATCTCCCCCTCGTCCCTTCTCTCCAGTTCGCCGCCAATTTTCCGCCAGCCTGATCGCCTCGACTCACCCACCACTCGCTCTACTGTGCTTTCTCCTCACACCCCTCGCCGCGCCACGCCATCCCTTTCCCTTGCCGCCTGTCCCGCGCGCGCGTCCCGTCTACCCGTGCGTTCGCCCCGCGTGTCGTGTGCCTGTTTCTCGTGCTCGCGCCCGTCCCGCACCACCACGTCGCACCCCTATTTCGTACCTCTCTGCTTCCTGCTCCTCTTCTCCTTCCTCCGCTCCCCCGCTCCTCCTCTACTCTTCCGTTGCTTTCGCTTAACTGTTCCTCCTCTCCGCAGCTCATCCAATCCTGCCCTCCTGCGCTCCCTCCCCCGCGCCCGTTCCTCTTCCCCACCACCCACCGACTCCTATAACGCCTCGTTCCCGTCGTCCCCTTGCCGCGCAAGCTCCCCATCGCTTCCTGCCCACCGCGTCAACCACACACCTCTCTTCCTCCCTCCCTCTCCCTGTTTCCCTTACGTCCTTCCTTGTTTCCGACTGTCCAACACCCACTCCAAACCCTCATTCCGACCCCCGGCTCCTCTCCCGTCCCCTCGCGTTCCTCTCTCCGCCTCTTTTTCCTCACCGTACTTCCCGTCCCTGCACGCCTGGTTATCTTTCCTTTCCTGGCAGGAAACGAGCGGCTGGTAGCACCTCACCGCTCACCGCCGCGCGCCATGTGAGTTTCAGCTCCAATTGCCGCTCCCTGTTAACCCTTGTGCCCTCCTTAAGTTCTCGGTGTGAGAGGCATGCGATCGCCAATAAGCGGTAATGGCCGTTCTTAAATTTCACTATGCTTCCCCACCACTCGTGATGGATTGCGATGAGCTGATTCACACTATTTCCCACAATCTCTGCTTGTTAATTCCTGATTGGTGTCTGCGTTCTTCACATCCCTCACCCCAACCGTCTCTTCGTCCTCCCCTCACTCTTTGTCCTCAACGCTTTATACCCCCTCTCTCTCACCTCTTTACCTCACCCCTCTTCCCCCCCTCCTCCTTTTGCATCGCTCTCCCTCACCCATCTTCCTCCTCTCTTCCCTCATTCTTGCACCCCCACTCCCCGCGGTCCTTCCCCCCCACACGGCTGGCCCGTAATGCTCATGTGTCCTCTATGGCACCACTCATTACCCTCCTTCGTTTTCTTCTCCGTTCCTCTCCCCTACCGTATTCTTCATCCTCGCTGATTTTGTGGTTCTTATGCTGTAGATGTCACTTCTTATGCAATTCTTCACCACCTTTTTCGCAAGACTATCCACACCTGGTCAACAGTAGCTCTATCTAAGAGCCGCTTCCCACGGTTCCAAGGCGGTTCAGGACTAATCACTCCTTGAACCCCTCCCTTCCCCAAAGCCAAGCTGATGCTGCGACAACAATGGTCTCATTGCTTTTGTTTTGAAGACAGAAGCTCCCACCTGTTTGACACTCAGAACCTCTTGCGTGTTTCCGCACAAATCCCCTCAGCCTCTCCAACCCCCCCTTTCCCTCATCCCACCCATCCCTACCCATCCCCACGCCGCTGTCCATCTCCCCTCCTCACTTTTTCTCATTTCCCTCCTCACCCTCAGCCACGCGGCAAAGCACGTCTTGACAATACCCCACCCAAGGGCGCTGTGCAACAGCGGCGCGGAAACACTTTGAAGAAATCTCAAACGTGAACGGGCACGGCCAGGGGGCGCAGCAGAAGGGCGGGAGCGAGCAAGTGCCCGAGAGAACAACCGAGCAACCAAGCAAGCGAGAGAGCAAGAGAGAGAGCGAGCAGGCATGAAGCCGGGGTACTCGACGCATCCGTTCCTGCAGGACTCAGAGGAGGTGGGCGGGGCGGCCATGGATGTGGACATGGACGTGGCTGAGATGGGGCTGGATGCCGGTGACCCGCACCCCCTGGAGAAGCTCGCTGACTCGGACTTCTTCAACAAGTTTGAGGACGACTTTGAGGACGAGGACTTAGCTTAGGGGGGCGTTGTTTGGGGGGGGGAGGGGGTGGGGTGGAGGGTATTGCAGTGAGAGTGCAAGGGAGAAGGGAGAAGCTCGCTGACTCGGACTTGTTCAACACGTTTGAGGATGACTTTGAGGATGACTTTGAGGATGAGGACCTGGCGTAGGGCGTTGTGGCAGGGTGGAGGGAAGGATAGAGGGAAGGGGGATAGTTTAGGTATGGCGTAGGCAGGCTAGTTTTCAAGTGTTCCAAATGCAATGCGTGGGACTTCATTACAGTATCAAGGGGCTTCTGCAGCGACGGCTTTACAGTCGATCGAGGACATGGATGGAGGGAGTGCGGAATGAGCATACAAGAGGGATGACCTGACCAGCTTCCAAAACATGTGGGGAAACATGTCTGATGCAATACGGTACTGTATTGGTACCGCACTTGTGGGCCAGTCTTGTACGGTACAGCCCAGTCTTAGTGTGCCACCCACACATGCCGGTACCTATGTTCGGTAACGGTAATCACTGTTTGTCACTGGTATAGATGGAGAACAAGCGACATGGATAATTGAAGGCTGCTAAGGAGACATGAGAAAATTATATTGTTGCCACAACATTTCATAATATCCACCCCAACCCCACTGTACACAGGAAAACCTGGGAGACAAGCACTGCTCTGCACTCCTACTCATCCAGGCCAACAGGGAATAGATGAGGTTGTGAAACAGGGGATGGCATGGCAATGGCCGTGGGAAACAGGGTATAGAATACGGTAGATAGTGATAAATTGGACAGCTACAGTACATGTTCTGATGAGTATTGCTATACCATAGTAACCTAGCCCACTTGCAGAACCACGTGCTAGTGTTCCGCCAAGACGGAAAGGACCAATCAGTTCAGCAGCATTCTCATCTTGTGCAAACCAACTACCGTATAAAGAACGGCTGCAACCTAATAGATTCCAAAAGTTTCAGTGACGCCGCTCATGCACAAGAGAACGAAGCATCCCCTACAGCTGGGAATAGTGTCCAGGCAGGTCCCAGAAAAAGAACCAAGACAGCCCGATTCAAGTAGAGAGTCCTGCCAGCCTGCCAGCCTGCCAGCCTGCCAGCCTGCCAGGTCCCTCCTTCTCAACCCCTCCACCTCCCGTGCTCATCTCTAGGTCAGGCTGCCAAGCCGAGTCGACTTGTGAGCCAGCTCGAACGAATCCTCCCTAAACCTCCACTGCAATCACCGACTTCACTCTGTGGCCCGCACTGTCGCTCCAAGTCAGGCTGCCAAACCTCCACCCACTCCCCGCTGCTGCCGCTCCCGCACGCGGGGTCAGTTTCACCGAGAATCTCACAGCATTGGCAGCACCTGTTTCAATGGTGAAGCTTGCAGGAGTGACCTCTACATCCACACCAGCCGGCTCCACCACACTTGCTTTATACGTTGCCGTGGCGCCCAGATTGGTAACCACGCGCGTTACCGTAACCGCGCCTTGCAGATTCGACACGGCGATCGCCGCCCGGTTGAGATCCCGGGCGGCGAGCGGCGACACCTCCTGCCCGTCCTGGAGAATCTTCCCAGCAAGCGCCGCATCCTGCCCGGTGAGAAACCGCAGAAAGTGTGGCACCTCGGCATTGTAAACCAGCCCAGGCCCAGGACTGAACATCTCGTCAACATCCAGGTGCCCCGCGCCCATATCCATAGGCGTGGGCGCATCTGCCTTCACCGGGTCCTGCCTCACCATGGTCGCATTGGCAGTAGTGGTCAGCACGGACATGACTTGCACGGGTGTGAGCGCTGGATTCCACTGCATCAGCAGCGCAGCCACCCCTGCCACGTGTGCTGCTGCCACAGACGTCCCGGACCCGATCTTGAACTCTGTGGTGTCTGAGAGGGTAGTGCCTCTGGAGGCGGCCCAGATGAAGGCGCCTGGAGCGACGAGGTCGGGCTTGAATACGTCTGTGGTGGCGCCTTGAGAGAGAGGGCCGGTGGAGGATGTTGCGTACATGACTGGCGCTGGCAGGTCGGATGCTGTTGTGAATGCTGACGAGAGGGACGCATGCGGACTGCACGGGAGAAGGGTGAGGGGACGGGGAATGGGTGGTGGCGCGGGTGCGGGTGCAGGGTGGAAGAAGGGGAAGGGCGCAGGAGAGTGGGGAATGGAGAGGTGAGAGGTTAAGGGTGGACTAACAGAGAGGTGTTGACAGATAGGAGGACGGATTTTGGCAAAGCAGGCGCACGCGCACGTGCACAAGCACAAGCTTTAATCCCCGAGCCAAACCCTGAGCCCGAACCAAAGCCCGAGCCCGAACCTCAGCCCGAGCCTGAGTGTGGCGGCAGCACAGCACAGCACAGCACAGCACAGCACGCACTTGGGTGTTTGGAGGAAGGCGAGGAGGGAATCGGAGTCTCCCACGCTGACGCCCACCACGGGCAGGTCGCGAGCATACGGCTGGTTGGTGCGCGGCGAGCTGTGCAGCACCACGCCCACCGCGCCTTTCGCCTTGGCCTCGGTCACCTTTGCGGTCAGAGGCACGTCACCCCCCGCCACACACACCACTAGCTTGCCGTTCACCAGTGCTGGGTCGAGCGTCCCTGGTGCACACCCGTCCGCCTGGCAAGGGGATGTGTGGAGGGAGGGAGGGAGGGAGGGAGGGAGGGAGGGAGGGAGGGAGGGAGGGAGGGAGGGAGGGAGGACCTTTGAAGCGCTTCAAAAGCCACCAGCTTGCCGGTCACCAGTGCACTGCACACCCGCCCGCCTGGCAAGAGGGGAAAGAGGGGAAGAGGTGGGGTTTCAGTCGACTCAAAGCTTGCCGGGTGCAAACCTGTCCGCCTGGCAAGAGGGGAAAGAGGGGAAGGGAGGGGGCTTGCGTCGACTCAAAGCTTGCCGGTTAGCAGTGTTGGGTCTAGCGTCCCTGGTGCACTTCACACCCGTCCGCCTGCCGAGGGGGGGGCTGTGGAGGGAGGGAGAGAGGGAGGGGGTTGGGGTGCACTCGGTGAGGCGGATGGCATAGAGTGGGGTTGCTTACGTTGGGGCAAGCAGGGTGCTTCCTTTCATGGATACGCACATTCACTTTCCTCATGGCAACCCGTTCCGTGTTGACCTCATGGCAGGGTCTAGAATCTCACAGGGCTCACCCTGGCAGCACTCGCTCACCCTGGCCTGGTAGCACTCCCTCCCTTGCCCACCTTGGCAGGGCTGATGGGCACGTTGGTGATTGCGGTGGCTGTTGGTTGCAGAGGGGAAAGCAGGGTGCTTCCTTGGAATCTCACAGGGCTCTCCTTAACAACACGCACTCACCTCGGCAGTGACTTTTGAGTCGACGCAAGAGTCAGGGCTCTCCTTGACAGCACTCACTCACCTGGGCAGCGGCAGCGGAGGCAAGCTTGGCGTCGGGCGAGTGGATGATGGGCACGTTGGTGATTGCGCTGCTGCCCGTTCCCAGCCCGTTCACGTCCAGCTCTGTGCCGTTGGACAGCATTAGCTTTGCTGAGAAGCGCCGGTTGATGGTGCTGCGGGGGGGGAAGAGAAGGCAAGGGGTGGGTGGGCGAGAGGGGGAAGCGCCTTGTGAGTCGTCTCAAGAGTCGACCCCAGCCTGTTCACGTCTAGTTCTGTGCCGTTGGACAGCAGGAGCTTTGCTGAAAAGCGCCGGTTGATGGTGCTGCGGAGGAGGCAAGGGGTGGGTGGGACGGGGAAGAAATGGGTGAGAAAAAGGGAGGGGAGAGTTGGGGAGATTACGAGATAAGAAAGTGACGAGAATCAGAAACATTTGCCCTGAGTAACCCCCCAATTCCCCTCCTCCCCTCCCCTCACCCTTTCTTTCGAAATCAACAAGCCTCCAACCAACACCTCTTCTCACCACTTTCCCCTTCCCCTCCCCCCAGCTTCCCCCCTCCCCCTCCCCCTCCCCCTGCCCCTCCCACTCCTCCTCCCCACCTTCCTTCCCCACCTTCTTTCCCGTCCCCCCCCTTTCCTCCACGTACGTTGCCCCGACCGTCAAGTAAAACGGTGAGAAGTTTACGACAGTCCGCGCCGCCTCACTGCCCTTCCCGCCATTCCCGGCCGCGGCCACCACCAGCGTTCCCGCCATGCTCGCATACAGCACCGGCAGATCATCAAAGTAGCTCTGCCCGCCGTCCACAGCACCCAGAGCCAGCAAGATAACAGCGCAGCCGTCCGCTACGGCTTGATCCATGGCCTGCTCGATGTCCGCGGTGGTGGCTACGAGGCCTGAAGATTCGCTGCTGCGCCAGAAGACCTTGTATGCTGCGATGCGCGCCCGTGGTGCTGTGCCGCTGCCCGCGCCCACGGTCTGCCCGCGCGCGACTGTCATGGGCGTGTCGCGATTGCCCGCTGCCGCACTGGCAGAGGGGGGAGGACGGAGGGAGGGCGGGGGCGGAAGGGAGGCGGGGGGAGTGGAGGAGAGGGGAGGATCACAGGGAGGGCCGGTGTGTGGGGAGGGGGAGCGGAAGGGGAAGAGATATTTAAGAGAGAACGAGGGTGGAGATTGAGATGTGCGGAAGGAGTGGGAAGAGTACAGGAGCAGCCGCGGTAGCAAGGGTGGGGATTGGAAGGGATTGCATGACGTGCCAAGAGGCAGTGCTCGCATCGCAATGAATAACAGCAAGCAGTGCTGAGCAGCCGCAAGCAGTGCTGAGCAGCCGCAAGCAGCGGGAAAGGAGTAAACATCGAGCAGCAGCAAGCAAACGAACGAGCCGGCAAGGAAGGACTCACGCGGCGACCCAGGAGCCATGGCCGTCAGCATCACGAGGCGAGCGCCAATCGGAAGAAGTATCAATCTCGCCGAACTCGCTCTCAAACGCCGTGGGGAAGAAGCTCGCCTGCACGAGCTTGCGCGAGCACCCCTTGAAGTCCGCCGTGCGCGCACAGTCCGTGGACAGCGCGTGCCAGCTCCGCGGGAACCCGCTGTAGCCCTCCTGCACAAGGGGGGGAGGGGGGGGGGGGGGGAGATGGGGGAGAGAGAGCAGCAGGGAGGGCGAGGGGGACGGGGGACGGAGAGCCGAGCATTTAGCGGCTGGGTGCATGTGCGCGTTGAGTTGAATGGGATCAAGGCTAGTGGGGCGGGAGATGAATACCAAGCATTCCGCATGTGCAAGAGGGTGCGAAGCAAAGAGGGGAGCGAGGTCGGGAGCGGGGCGGGGAGCGGGAAGGGGAGCAGGGAAGGGGAGCAGGGAAGGGGAGCAGGGAAGGGGAGCAGGGAAGGGGAGCAGGGAAGGGGAGCAGGGAAGGGGAGCAGGGAAGGGAACGGAGAAAAAACGGGAGAGGACACGATAAAAGAAAGCGTAAGAATTACGTCATTCCCATCCCCCTCCCGCTGCCCCTCCCGCGCCCCCACCCGCACCCTTTCCCCCTTTTCCCGTTCCAACAACACCGCACCTCTCCTCACCCACCCCCCGTTTCCCCATACCTCGCTAAAGGAGGGGTTTTCCGGCCAGATACCCGTGTCCACGACGCCAATCACGGCGTCCTCGCCCGTATAACTCGCGCTCCAGAAGGTCTTGGGGAGATTAAGTAGCGCGGGCGTCTCGCTCGTCTGCTTCTGCACCGCGCGGCTCCGCAGCACCTGCAGCACGCGCACGTCGCTGCGCAGACTCTCCGCCTGCGCCGCCGTCAGCACCGCCGCGAACCCGTTGGAGATGTAAAAGTACCGATATAAGATGTCCCGTGTGATGTTAGTGAGTCCCGCCTGTCGCGCAACTTTATTCTGCTCGTCCTGTAACGTGTCTACTAGCGATTGGATTAACGCGCTCGACCGGTCGAACCACGGCCGCCCGTTGCGCGTCTCCGCGCCCCAATCCGCCGCCGCCAGCTTCCGCCTGTTTCTCCGCGCGCCCTCCCGCGCAACGTCTCCCCCATCCCGCGCCATCCGCGTGGAAACACTCTCCTCCACCGATCTGGCTTCCGTCAGCAGCCTCCGCGCGGCCCCCCCGGTCCCGACACCCCCGTTGCTGCTACCACTCCCGGCACTCGCGGCACTACTGCCCGAGTCGCTACCGCCGCGAACGGGCGAGCCGCCGCCGGCGGACGCGGAGTTGATGGAGGCGGAGAAGAGCGCGGCGGACGTGGTCGAGACGGAGTCGGGGCTGAGCGCGCCGGAGAACTTAACGCTCGCCGCCGTCGACGGCGCGCTCACCTGCACCGCCACGGGCGCGCGGCGCAGGCGCACGATGTACACGTCGCCGCGCGTGATGGCACGCGCGCGGGAAGGTCGGTGGCCTGGAAGGGGAGTGGGCGGAACGTGGGGAGGGGGGATGAGTGGAGTGCGGAGGCGAAATGAACGGAAGTCACCGCCGGCGCAGGCGCACGATGTACACGTCGCTGCGCGTGACGGCGCTCGCGCGGGTCGGTCGGCCTGGAATAGGCGGCGTGAAGGGGAATGGGCGGAAAGGCGACATTTGAGTCGACTCGGAAGTCACCGCCGGCGCAGGCGCACGGCGTACACGTCGCCGCGCGTAGCCGCGCGTGATGGTGCGCTCGCGGGTAGGGTTGCCTGGAAGGGGATTCGGCGGAAAGACGGGAGGGAGAAGTGGAGCGCGGAGGCGAAATGAGCGGTAAGCCTAATGAGCGGAAAAGTAATGTGGGAGAACCGAAGGCAGAACGAGCGGAGGCCGGCAGCACCTCGACGGTTCGCGCCGTCTGGACTTGCGGAGGGCGGGAAACAGACGGGGAAGGGACGGGGGAGTGGGACGGGAGAAAGCGGAGGCAACGAGGGGCGGAGCGCGGAGACGATTTGCGCGCAGAGAAAGCTTATAAGGAATAACCGCCATCCACAGGTGGAAGCGAGCAGCCGCTCAAGGCGGCGCTTTCGGAGGAGAGGACTATTAACGGCCTCATCAACGCACGCTGCGGCTAACCCCGAGTGAACGGCCCTTATCCGTTTCCATGCCGATGGTGAGGCGGAAGTGCGGACATTCGAGCGCGACGAGTTGACGTAATACGCGATGAGCTGCGGAACAGCCGCGCCGCGACCATGATGACGAGCTTTTGAGACGACTTAAAAGTCATGATATTGGGCGGTGGAGAGGTGCGAAGCAAGCCACGCACGTCGCACGCACACAGGTGGACGCGCAAGGGGTAGAGCGGCAGACAGCAGCAGCCCACCGAGAACAAACCGCGGCGCACCTGGTGCGAGCCAGTTGGCGGCAGATGTATGTTCGACGAGCAGCGGAAGCAGCAGCGCGAACAGGGTTAGCCATCTCGCCTTGGCCGTGATCCTCGCTCGCGCGTGCGAGCTTGCGAGTAGTACCATGCTACCGGCGGGCCTAGATTCGGCCAGATTTTGATGCGAGCAGAGCTAGACTGGGCTAGATTGGTACGCCGGCAGAGCTAGATTCCTTTGCCGTGCTCCTGAGCGGCGGAACTACGAAGTGAATGTGGTGAGGGTTCAGGCTGGGACGGGTGAGTAAAGAAAAGCGTTTTTATTAGGGGCGACGAGAATAGAGTAGAGCGAAACGAGAGTGAAGCGCAGCGCGCGCGAAAGTTCAACGAGCAGGCTAACTAAGCGGGACACACTTGATGGAACCGTGGTTGTCTACCGCAGTAAGGTGGTCAAATGTGGCAAGTGAAGGCAAAGGTGAGGAGCAGCAGTTTCGCGAGTGTGACATGAAATTATTGGAGATTCGGCGGAGAAGCGCAAAGAAGCGGGTGAGGCGAGAGAGAGAGAGAGAGGGCCACGCAGTAGGAAGGTGAGGTGATGAGGTGAGTGGGAACTCAGCACACACAGAGGTAAGGGGAAACGAGAGTCGAACTGGAGGCAGCAGCCCGTGGCTGTAGCGACGTACGCACCGTGTCGCAAAGCGCGTTCCCCTCCCCATGCATGCCTTTGCCATGGCCCATGGCCCTTCCTTTTCCTCCCTCCCGCCAGCCCATACCGTGCAATCGGGAAGGGGGAGCGGCGAAACACTGGACGGTGGTGGGCTTGTCATGGGCAGCTCAGGCTGCCAGTGAAACACACTCTCCGACGCAACCGACCACGTGCCGCTAGTCTGTGGTTCTGGAAGCCCAGTGCAGTGTTCAGTGCTACGAAGGAGATTCAAAGGAGTGAGCGTGGACTGAAGAAACTTAGCAAATGGTACTGTAGTAGTTCTGAAAAAGCGGGAAACCCGCAGGGCAGACCTTGTGGAGTGGTAATGTACAGTACGAGTTGTTTCAGAATTAGCACTAACAAACCACCACGAGCTTACAATTTTGACTTGGTCAGCAATTTTCAATTCAGGAATCAAGAGAAGCTCGGTAAGAAGAATCGGTTACTCGTAGGACGCCGCTTTTAAAGATACACCTTTTGACTTACTCGTAGAACTTACAGAGTGCGCAATGTAAACAAACATCGAGAATGTGACAACCGGAATGATATACAATGAAAAGTGATCGGGTTAAATAGGGGGATTCCTAGCTAGGGGGGAAGGTCGGGCAAGATGATGTCCTGGCAAAATTGGCATCGGTGTGGAAATCGATGACGAATCCAGGTGTTGTACGTCCATAAAATCTTTAAGGGCGAACTAAGAGAAGTAGCCCAGAAACGCAATGACGTATTTCGAGTACTCGAACTAAGATTTATTGTTGTTTCACCACCAAAATTTCCAGCAATGTCTTCAGCAAATGACGCCTGCGAAATAAATGTTGTTGTTATGGGTTAGGCGATTTGCCTTTTTGCCGCTTATAGAGTTGGAGATGTAGCGTCATGAAATTCTCTGGTAGAAAATCATATAATGAAGGCAATTTGCAGCGAAGGTGATTATCGAGAGAAGGTGATTGTCGTCGGAGAAGCAACCGTATCGAATATCACTCCGAAATTAATGTCGAACGCACTTTCGATGTCAAAATATGTGAGCTCGTCGGCAGGTTTGTCCAGACTCGCCAAGCATGTTGTCGTAGGTCGCCGAGTGCTCCCGGGCAGAGATGAAAACGTACAGCTGTCTCTCACCCCCTTCCATTGTTGCCGTTGCCTCCTCCAGTTCGTTGTATGTTGCTCGTACCCCTCAAAAAGTATGCGTAGTTCTCGTGATGTTGCTCTTCATTCATTTCGTATGCGATTAACCAAGCGAATGCTAATGCACCGAAAATGCATTTACGGTGTGGTTGCTGTTAGAACTAGGAATAGTGCATAAGGTAAAGGGAGGGGGATACAAGGAGAATGTCGAGATGGTTTCTATACCCCCTAAAGCTAGCCCCAATACAGCCTAAATATAACTAAACATATATGTTTTGACACACCCCCATAGGCGAAGTGGGGGATAGCCAGAGCTAGCAATAGTCACAAGACCAGTCAAGAGAAGAAGCAAAGCAAAGCAAAGCTCGGGGTGGATCTCAAGATCACCACGCATTTCGAGCACAAGTAAGCGGCCACAAAGCCAGTTCACATGCTGAGTATATAATAGCAAGAGCAGTACACTGATCACAACCTAGCAAGTGCAAACATGCAGGTATAATCATATATATCAGAGTACAACAAGTGCAAGGCAAGCTCAAGCGACAAGCAGGTGAGGCAGAGTGGGCACAAGCCCAAGAGCAGTGCAGAAACGCTGATGATCATTAGACCCAAGGGCCTTGGTGAAGACATCAGCATTGTTGGCCTGTGTGGCCACGTAAGCAAGACGAAACTGACCACACTGCTGCAGCTCTCGCGTGAGCACGTAACAGAGAGCAATGTGCTTCGTCTTGTGCTCCAGTCGCTGGTCCTGATACAAGGCAACAAGGGCCTTGTTGTCGACGAACAGAACTGGAGGAAAACGAGGCCGCTCACCCAAGTCGGTCAGAAGGTAGGTCAGCCAGCGGAGCTCCTGTGCAGCCATAGCCCCAGCTTAGATCTCGGCCTCACCGCTAGAACTAAGTACAGAAGACGAGCGAGTGGACCTCCACGAGACAGAACCAGCGCCGAGGCTGGAGCTGTACCCCTGTGTCGACCGGTGAGTCGTTTGGTCGTCAGCCCAAGAAGCTTCGTCGGTGAAAACAACTGAACCTTGTCCTCCAAGCACGAGCCCCATGCCCGATGTACTGCACAAGTAGCGCAGTACCCTCTTCGCAGCATCCCAGTGCACCTTTTGGTGTCTACCGGGAGCCACGTAGCGAGCCAGGAGGCTAAGAGGGTACGCGAGTTCAGGTCGTGTGCACGCCATCAGGTACATGAGGCAACCCACAAGCTCTGGATACGGACCAGTCGGCTCTACGGACTCGTATGAAGGTGGAGCTGAGAGCGAGTGGGCTGTAGTCAGAGGAGTGGACTGTGGCGAGGACTACGAGAAGTCTAAGCGCTGAAGGACCTGCTGCACCATGTGTGATTGAGTGAGGGTGATGGTGCCCCGTGCTCTGTCCCGGGTGATTTGCAAGCCAAGATAGCTCCGCAGCTCACCCAGGTCAGTGCACGTGTGTCTCTCCTACAGCTTCTCCTTCACTAGGGCCAGTGCCTCGGTGTCAGCAGTAGCAAAAACAAAGTCCTCTACGTACACGATAACGTAGAACAGCGGCACAGAAGTGCCTGTGCGGAGAAACAGCGAAGGGTTAGCAGTCGAGGGAGTAAAGCCAAGTAGCGTGGACGCGAGATGAGATGCAGCGGCCGCTAGGCACTCCAGCTCAATCTGCCTGTCCTCAAGGATGTCACAGCCAAGGGCAAGCTCACCCCCGACGGACGGAGGACAGGAAGAGTCAAAGTCAAGAATCGCAGCGTAGTCAAGGCGGCACAAAGCAGCAAAGTCAGCAAGCTCAGCAACTAAGGCAGACGCAGCAGCAGACTCAAAGGAAGGTCAGTGACAACTGTGGCCAGGGGACGTGTGACAGTAGGACTAGCAGCACGAGCAAGGTCAGACTCAGGGTCAGGAACGTGAGGAAGAGAAGACACTGGAGGTGACAGCAGGACAAAACGCTGTAGAATAGAGGAAGGACGAAGTGCCATGATGCGTGTACTAGTGACAGGAGGAGGACGAGGACGCACAACACGACGAGCACGGAAAGGCGTGACAGGACGCAACGCAGGCTCTCGACGCTCAGTGAGGGACTCTGTCACCGCAGTGTGTGGAGCAGGAGCAGGCAGTGGGGAGTGAGGCAATAGCTGTGGCTGAGACTGGTCAGCTGGTGGAAACAGTCACGGAGGTGTAGTGCCAGCAACAGGGAATTCAGTAACAGCAGGCAAGAGACTGAGAAGGTAACTATGCGCAGACTACTACGGCTGAGTAGTTGCACCCCCAGAACCTCCAGCCCTAGTAGCAACAGCAGCACCTCCAATGTCAGCACCGCCAGGACCTTCAACTCCATGACCAACAGCACTAGCACCTGCAGGGCCGTTACCTCCAGTACCTCCACCTCCAGCACGACCAGCCCCGCCACCAGGGCTGCCCCATCGGACAACCCACTCTCGAAGCCGCTCCGGCGAGAGAGGCTCTTGCTGACGTGAGACAGGACCACCGGCTGCAGCACCCACAGAAGCAACACCTCCAGTACCTCCAGTAGCACCTGTGTCTTCAGCACCTCTAGCACCAATCGTCTAACTCATATGCTATAGTCTATCTAGGCTGTAGTGGGGTAGACACTATAGGGTACAACACTTCTAGGTGTCCTACTTGTACCCACTTCTTCCTTAGTCATCATCATTCCTCGTGATTCTCACATGGTATAGAGCGGGTTCCCTAGTGGGACCGTTACTTCCTAAGGGCCCACCATAATTTTTTTTCTTTTCCTAACCTGCCCGAAGCGCGCTTCGCGCTCTGACCTGCCCTACCCTTTCGCGGCCCCTTAGCGGCCTGCCCTGCTTCTGAGGCCCATCGCGGCCCCCCCTTTGCGGCCCCTTCGCGGCCCCTTCACGGCCCCTTCGCGGCCCCTTCGCGGCCCCTTCGCGGCCCCTTCGCGGCCCCTTAGCGGCCCCTTCGCGGCCCCTTAGCGGCCCCTTCACGGCCCCTTCGTGGCCACTTAGCGGCCCCTTTGCGGCCCCTTCGCGGCCCCTTCGCGGCCCCTTAGCGGCCCCCTTCGCGGCCCCTTCGCGGCCCCGCCCCGCTGCCCGTAGCGGCCCTGCCCCGTCGCCAGTCGCGGCCCCGCCCCGTCGCCAGTCGCAGCCCCGCCCCGTCGCTAGTCGTGGCCCCGCCCCGTCGCCACTGCCTCGTCGCTACGCCTCAGCGGGACCCGCCCGTCGCCCCCGCCTCGTCGCGACGCCCCTGCGGGACCCGCGAGGCGCGGCTCCTGCGCGTCGCAACACCCCTGCGGGACCCGCGTGGCGTCGCCTCTGCCCGCCGCGGCGCCCTGCCCTAACCCGCGCCCGACCTT